CTCTCTCTCTCTTTCTCTCTCTCTCTCTCTCTCTCTCCATCCCTCTCCAGTACATCCTTGAGTTAAGACAATACCACACAACCTACCCGGACACCGTAGTACACATTGATGACATCACACAGTCATAAATTCTTACAGTGGATGTCAGTAGAGAAGTTCACACTGGGAATCAGGCTTACTTTGCTCATCTCTCTAACCTCAACAGCACAAAGTCTTCTCCGACTGTCAAGGCACCCCGCATATAGCAGTTGAAAAGAGAGTGATAAACATACAAAAGTAAGAAGAAGAGGAAAAATGACGATAGTAAGGATGAGGAAAGAAAATGCAGAAGTTCCCTCTATGTTTTTTTTGACACAGTATAAGCATGGCATTAATAATAAGCCCATTTACAATTCTACTGAGCATAAGAACAGGTTAATATCCTCCATTTGGGAATGGCTTAAATACAACTTCAGTCAGTAGCACAGCCTTGGGGGGGTAGGTGTCTGTCTGTCACACACACACACATATACATACACACACTAACACACACATGCAGGCACACACATGCACACACACCCACATACTTACATACTCACACATACACACGCACACACACTCACATCCGATGTATACACACATACATACACACCCGCGCACACACACACACATACACACACGCACTCACAAATATACATGCACACACACATACACACAGACACCCATACACACACTCATACACACACACACACACATACACACACACACACACACACACACACACACACACACACACACACACACACACGCACACACACACACACACACACACACTCACACACATACACACACAGCCCAGATACCATGTACGATCCTGGATTCATTCCACTAATGTACAAACACTTTTTAAAATTTGCTTCTTTATTATCGTGCTGGACTTTAAACGTATTTATTTATAACTATACTTAAACAGATCTACTCTAGTCTCCACCAATTTTCCCGCTCTAATTTTATTATTGTACTTACTTTAGGAAACTGTTGTAACTATAATTCATAGATTAATTATTATCCCAAGTCTGAAAATGAATTAACTATTAATAACATTAATTTCTTTTCTTAAATTGCGAATGGATTTTGACTATTTAAGGAGGGGGTGGGGCTGCACATGAAGGCTGTTTCGATTATCACTGGGTCAAATGTTAAAATCCGTGAAAATCCACACTCCAGACACCACCAATAAAAATCTATTACATAATAACATATTGGAATTTCAACAAAAACAATATTTTAGTGTTACATCTTCTCTTCATTCCGTGAACATTTCATGAAGATTTCACGAAAATTGGTGGAGTAATTTGTAAAAATATACAGAAAAATCGTGTTTTAAGAAAACAGAACAATGTAGAAAAATAAAATATTGAAATTATGAGGAAATGGTGGTGACTAACATAATAATAATAATAATAATAATAATAGATAGCATTTGTATAGCGCATATCCCCGCTCAGCAGCAGGCTCTATGCGCTTTACACTATATTATTACCCCAGCAGACCATAGAACACTCCGAAACATTCTCAGCTTCCCGGGAAGCATACAGTGCAAGCAGCCGATTAAGCGCTCAAACACTAACAAACTGACAAGATCTTTCGCTGTCTATAGCTGGGTACCCATTCCCACCTGGGTGAAGTGAGGAAAATTCGTGTAAAGTGCCTTTCCCAAGGACACAACGTCGGGCCCTTGTCGGGATTCGAACCCACGACCTTACGGTTACGAGTCCGATAGCCTAACCACTAGGCCACCGACTAACATACTAAGTATGTTGAAAAAAATAAGGCTTTGGGGTGTTCTTATGCAATGAAATACAATATATATATATATATATATATATATATATATATATATATATATATATATATATATATATATATATATATATAGTCTTCAATTTTACAAGCAGATTTGTTCTGATTAGATTCTCGTTAGTCAAGCCTAGTTTTGATCTTAAGAAACTGCATTATTTTTTGGTCATCCAAATGTTCTTAGTAAAAAATATCACGTCGGTCGTTACTCTCTCAGTGTCGCACATAATATATTTATTTATGTATACTTGTAATTGTAACTAGCAACCAGACATTTTGTTTTACAGCCAGGGTCATGTAATGTTACAAGCAAACGTGTATTTACTAAGCTCTACTCAAGCGAAGTGGTGATCCGAGAAGCTAGAAAAAGACTATTATTTGGTCACCTCCAACTATTTAGTGGCTTATTATTTCGGTCACTACACTATCAGAGATGAAACGATCTATTTACTTTTGTGTATATCCAGTTTTGACAACTAACACATTTTTAATAGTTTTATGGTTAGGCTACCGGACTCGTAATCATGAGGTTGCGAGGTCGGGTGTTCGAGATGGCGGCCCGACGTTGTGTCCTTGGGAAATGCACTTTACACGAATTTTCCTCACTTCACCCAGGTGGGAATGGATACCCGGCTATAGACAGCGAAAAATCTTCTCAGTTTGTTAGTGTTTTAGCGGCTATAAATGGCTGCTTGCACGGTATGCTTCCCATGAAGTTGGGGTTGTTTCAGAATGTTATCAAGGTCTGCTGTGGTAACAGTATGGATTCTGAAGCGCATAGAGCTTGCTGCTGAGTGTGGATTTGTGCTATACAAATGCTATCTATTATTATTATTTTCCAACATCCTTATTTCTTTGTCATCTAAGTCTACACACACACACACACACACACACACACACACACACACACACACACACACATACACATACACACACACATACACACACACACACACACACACACACACACACGCGCGCGCGCGCGCGCGCGCACCCACAAAATGAACATGTATCTTATACAACACAATCACAGTTGTTGCTGCTCAGTAGACACAATCTGAAGGAATTGTCTATTATGATGGTAATGTTTCAAAATCCTCCAGAAGGATCATGAATGGTTCGTTCACGTTTTATTATGTTCGCTATTACAACTAGATTTGTACAGTAACTGGAAGTATAAGCATATTATTATGCTCTTTGTTATAACTAGATAAGTACAGTAACTGTATGTACAAGCATATTATGTTCGTTGTTACAACTAGTTATGTACAGTAACTAGATGTACAAATATTCGTTGTTACAACTAGATAATATACAGTACACAAACATACTCGTAATTAGACCTTATCAAACACTGAGAGTGTAACAATCTTTATGTAGCGTTTCACATGTTGGTAATTTTAATGTCCTTCAGAATGGTTATTTGTGCATTTTCAAAGTGATAGATATGGCTTGAAATGAAACTTGTGACGGCCTAATAGTAAAACCAGAAATGTCAGGTTTTTAAAAACTAATTTGAGTTGTGACGTGGTTTGGAAAATGCTTATGCACCTCTCCTTGCCCAACAAAGTGTCCATGGCTAAAGGCCGATAAGTTGCCAAATAAAAGGATTTGGGAAAATGGGAAATGGTATAGGTTTAACGCCTCTATCAACACTATTAGGTTATTTAAGACGCGAGGCCTCCGAGTTTAACTTCCATCTCAGAAAGGACCGAGCCAAACGGGAAATTCGTGTAAAGTGCCTTTCCAAAGGACACAACGTCGGACTGAGCTAAGCTTCGAACCCACGAGCCCACAATCTCATGATTACGAGTCTGGAAGCCTCACCATTAGGTTACCAACGCCACTAATATGAGGCTTGAAAAATAAGCTTTACTCTGAAAAAATGTTGGCTGTCTAGAATTTCATTATTAAAAACTCAAAATGCTAAAATGTAAAATCCCTTGTTTCTCTATATAACGTTCATGTATCTAGTAAAGGTCTGTGATGAAACGAAGCAGCCCGTGGTTTCCAGTGTTGTGAACCAACGTCATAATCGCGATTGTGGAATTTGTCTGTGAAAATAGCACTGTAAAGCAACACAACAACAACAACAACAACAACAACAACAACAACAACAACAACAACAACAACAACAACAACAACAACAACAACAAACAAACAAACAAATAAACAAACCAAAAAGTCGAACAACGCAAACCAAGAGATCTTGTGCCATATTTTATTCTGAAGTCTACTGCCTGTAACGTGTTCAGGAAACCTGAAGCATGAAGAACTTAGCTGTAATAGCAAGCTGGAGCAAATCCACTCATGGTCAAGTCACACTTCTGTTGGCCCAAGCTTCTTTTACAATCGTTGTACCAGTTGCTGAATGTGCTGAGACAGCTGGAGAATGACGTAGCACTGGCAGCGGCGATCAGAGCCAGGACGGCGAGAACGACAAAGATGGCGTTGTTCATCTTGATAGGGGTTGAATTGAACACTGGAAAAGAACACAGACCCAATACAATAAGTGAAGACCTGAGAAAAAACAACAAGGTTAAGTCACGTTTTCCTAAATACACTGTTCTGCATTCCATTCGAAAGTGGCGACACGGGGCTATTCTTTCATGGCACTGACGAAGCGCTATTCTGTTCCTTCACCCAGTTGTTCTTTTTTAAAGATGCAAAGCCTTCATGTTTCAACAAAGCCAAGTCCCCCTCCCCCCCCCCAAAAAAAGTATTAAAAAACTCTCTAATCCTGAAATGAGGTTTTTGCTCATAAAAAGTCATCTGAATGTGACTTGACCTTGGTGTTGTTCTTAGGTATTGGAATGTTTCCTTTTCTAGTTAAGGATAAAGTGACAAATGTGAGGCAGCGTGGTGAAATCAGGCGCTTGTCAAAATAATGAAAGTAAAGAAACTGGCTGGTTTGGCGATTATCATCGAAATTTTGTTTTTCAGCTTAACACCTTTTATGTCTATTTAAGAACCCACTTCAGTGTGAATTATATTGAAAAAAAGTTAATTAAAGGCCCAAAAAAATTGTAAATTGTCTGTTTCCATGGACTCTGAGGCTTTGTAAATAACCAAACCTTGGCGGCCATTTCATTACTAATTTTACCCCTGAAACCTGGCGATCCCCACCTTATTCAATCGCAAATATCTGAACATGTGCTTAAGATAAATGGGTAATTCTTTCGTCTAAGGCAAGGCAAATGAACAAGCCTTAAGGCAATACCAATAATTCTACATGCCCAAAAATTGACGAGCGCCTGATTCCACCACGCCACTTCACAAATGTCTGTGTGACTGCACTGGACAATTATCCATTAAAGAAACCGTCATAATTTGTCAGAACGACTTGTTCACACCGCAAACAGTCAATGCAAGACTCGGACACATTCAGGACATATTCTGGTATTTTTGTACATAAATACACATCATAGTCCATTTTTGAAAAATCTGTGCCCATATTTAAGCCACTTTCTGGACTCAAATGGTAAAAAAATAGGACGTGTACTATACCAGCATTATTTGGTTACAGTACTGTACCATTGACAGTTTGATACTTCCTTTCTGGTATCATCGTCTCATATCTAATGGTTAGACTGCCGCACACCAGCATTATTTGGTTACAGTACTGTATTATTGCCAGTTTGATACTTCCTTTCTGGTATCATCGTCTTATATATAATGGTTAGACTGCCACTCTCCCAGCCATAAGTTTGGCCTACAAGTGACGTTGATACAGAAAAAAGAATACGACCCATGGTATATTTTCATAGCTGGTATGGATTCATAAACATGTCATCCTTTCATAACAATGTGGTTCTTAGTCCGGCCAGCCAATGAACATCATGAAGTTTTATCTTCTTGTCAAATCTCACTCCAAGTTGTTGTTACACTTTTCCTGTTTGTTTCTTTTCTAGACTCAAATAGATCATTCTGACGATGTGGACAAAGGCATGAAATAGCGACTTCTTCTCGTACCAAATGTATAAATAACTGAAGAGTTTCTTCATCCGTTAAACTTAGATGTAGTAAAGAGAGAAATTTCTTGTTACTTCAATCTTGCCTATTTCACTGAGAGAGAGAGAGAGAGAGAGAGAGAGAGAGAGAGAGAGAGAGAGAGAGAGAGAGAGAGAGAGAGAGAGAGAGAGATGTATATTCTTCCTTCAAACGCCTTCAAATGAGAGCAAAGAGAAAGAAATTTCTTTTCTAGTGTGAACTTCTTCTTTCAAGCTTGTAGATATAGCTTGTAGAAGGACGGATTGCTTTTTCTTGCAAACTTACAAATAGTAGAGGATTTTTTCTATCAAATTTGTTAATACTAGCGAGAGTAATTTTCTTCTCCAAAGAAACAAAAAAGAACGTTTATTAAGCAAACAAACGAAGAAATTACTGAAGTTGTGAATATTGAATTTCTAGAGTCTTTTTTAACTTCAACTACTTTGTGGTTTTGAAAGCAGACAAACAGATCTCACCTGAAAGGTTCCGACTTGATCAGCAAATATCTGGCTACTAGGAGCTGTGGTGTCGTCTGCAGAAATTGTCCTTCTTTTTATCTGACTGGAGCTCGGGAGTGGGCGTGGTCAAACTGTCTCAACATGTAAGTGCTAGGAAGATTTTCATGAGTTGTTCTGTCTTTGAACTGGGGGAAAATTGTGTTTGTAGGTCTCTGTCACAAGATAGAGAATGGGTGTTTCTGACGACATGGAAGTGTGACTTTTTTCCATAACAGTTTGGGAGTTGTAGCGAAGGTTTATTTCATTCACAAGTAGTAAACGAATTTGGCGTGACCTTTCCACTTTTGCCCGTTGTATGAGTGAAAAGGTTTTGAACTGGTGTTTAGTAAGATTCCACAGACCATTGTGGTTTCATTTTCTATGTACAATACGTAGACCAAGGCATATTTTTATTTTTCCTTAACGAGGCCAAAATTATGTTGAGCCCGTTGTCCACAAAACCAGAAACAAACCAAGCAAAATTTTCCGTCTATCTGGAAACGGTTAGTTGAAATAGAGAACTGGTTTTTGCCTTAGCGATTAAAGAAAATTTTGTTTGGAATTGTCAACCAAAACTGCACGATTTCTGCCAACAAAAGACGAGTCGCCCAGTGACTCATCAGCAAAAGCCCAGCTAGAGCTGAAAAACCCTCATTTAAAGTTCGAGTGAAAATGGTAAATGTCATATTCATAGTCAGCGCCTCTAAATTGGCAAAGTCAATACGTTCATCAAAACTTTAAATACGTATTACCAATTTTACTTTTAAATTTGATTCTATGTTTTTTAGAAATTCATTTATTTCTTTTTCTTTTTTTGAAGGGGGAGGGGATTCTTTGATGGTTTGATAGTCCAGTCTTGTGTTCCGTAACTTTTGACCTGCTCACGCAGGCCAGAAACGAACCGACTGAATTGCCCGTCCCCGACAAAAACACCAGTCATTTGTTCATTGGCGGACGCTTGGCCTCCTGGTGCCTTGACGGAGACGTGCTTTTCGTAGACGGTGAGTGAGACCAGAACAGCCAGGTGTCAGCGTTGTTAAACTTGAAGGTATAGATGTCTCTGTACTGTGAGAAAGTTGTCACGGAATCTAGTTATGGAAATTACATAAACTAGGACAGAGACTGACCACTACCCCCCCCAGCCACACACACACACACACACACACACACACACACACACA